TGAGTGCCAAAGTACAATGTCAGCTATTGAATCAGAGTGACAAAAATGCTTAAAAAACAATTTAGATTTTTACTATTGGTTTAATAATAAGATCTAATGTAATGAGTTTTGATAAATGTTGTTTTTTATTTTCATGGATTTATGTACTAATATAATATGTAATCATACCTGAATATAATCATATGTATAATGACACATGCCTTTACCAAATAAATGAGTAAATCTTTATGAATTTTTACTTACATGGTTTATGGACCCAAAAAAATGTCGGGGTGGACAAACGCCCCACTGCACTAATGCCGAAAAAAAACTCAGTGCACTAACGCAGGGTTAATTGAACGTCAAGTTTATCGTTGATGATTACAAAGCCTGTTTTAGGAGAGTTATTATGGTCGTGTAAATAGATGGTACGAAAGTTTCCAAACATAGCAATATTGTTGTTAAAAGTATAAGGTTCCTGGATAGACATTAAATCTATCATCCTTTGAGTGGCTTGATGAAAGGAGTCAGTAGCTGTGGCCTTACATCTCTGAAGATTGATTTGAAGAAGCCTCAATTCACTCTGTTTCTGCCTAAACCCGTAATTCGTCTGTCGGATGGTCTGGGCTTTCATTTTAATGGTAATAGGACATTGTGGGTTGAACGCATTATTAGTTGTATCGTATCTGTCATACTCCAGTAGTTCTTTGTTAACAGTTCTGCAATTTATGCAGTTGGGTGGGTTTTCTAGTCTCCTACAGTCGCTAAATCTATGCACCTTTCCACAGTGACTACATCTTTGTCTGTTAGGACAGTTAGTGGATAGATGATTATATCCGCAACATTGGAAACATCTAACCAACGAGATATAATCATTGACATATATTTTAGCCCATTCAATCGCAATGTGTTTTGTTCTGACAAGAATATTTCTGATCCTGGGGGTGGTCGAGAGTACTATATGCCAACAGTTTTCTCTGGCATTGTTTCTAAATAAGACAGTGCTGATTCTGGTGGAGTAGGTGAATTCATCTTTTGTCATTGATTGAAAAATTTCATTTTGGGTAAAAATAGTAGGGATGATGTCTGCTTCATCGACAGAGATTGGGACATTAGTGAGAATAACCTGTGGTCTGCGCCCTTCGGAGATTTTACTACGTACTTTGTCCACTATGTCTGGGTGTTCATTAATGGCATCAGAAAGTATCTCTGCTTCTTTTTGACTATCAGTTCTAAAACAGATACAGTCCCCTTTAATTTGTCTCATAGATTTCACCTTAATTCTTGTAGTTTGATCCTCTTCTTAATCTCACTCTCGATTTGATTCATTTTAGTTAACAGTCCTTCTTCATCTGTTTTGGGGTAAAGCAAGAGAGCAAAGCTGCCCCCTGAGCCTTCGTTATTGATCTTATTCTTCAGGGATCTATTAATGACCAATGTTGTAGAACTGGGTTTTACATTGATTTTTGTGGCTTCCGCGTAGGAAACAGGAGTTATTGGAGAAGCAACAGTGGGTGGAGCAGGGTGAGTGGCAGATTTAGATCTCACCTCCTTAAGAATGCCGTGAAACTGTCCGAGGCAGGAGTACAGACAAGCAACACGATCTCACACCTCTTTCCTTTCCACAGTTCTTATGTTGGAACTGTATTTCTCAGGTAGCAAGTCCAGTATTTTGAGCATGTGCTGGTTGGCTTCATTTAGAATCGAATCTTCTAGTGAGATGATGCTGACATTACAGTTCTGGGTCGTAATATCCAGACAATGAGACAAGGAACTTTGTGATGACATGGTGATGGAGAGTTTTAGAACCAACCAATACAGTGTAGTGTAATTGTCAAGAGTAGAGATGCCAAACGGCCAAAGACTCTGTCCCAGAAGACGAGATCTAGCTCGGACAGAGGTGAAACAGATTGGTTGGTTGTGAGAAGAAAAGACAGTACTCACCCCAGTTAGGACAATCCTGCTGTGTAAACCTCAGGAGGACGTCAGTACAGCTGTGATAAGCGCAGAAAATCCGGTGTGCGGAGAAAAGTAAGCTAAGGAAGTCGTCGGAATCACCCAACAGCCTGAGAATGTGGACAAAGAACAACACCTGTGAGTAATCCAATGGATGATGGCACAAGGAGCCTAGTCCATGAATTTGGTGATCATAGGATGCATGGAAGCGGAGGGGTACTGATGAAACCAGGGAAACACCGATGATAGCTGTGACAGCTTCCTATAAGGGTCGGGCAAGTGCCAGACTTGCCAAGCAAAGCTTGGCTACAAGAACACCAGCCTGACGTTGAGGATTTGGTCGGCCTTATGGCTAAGATCAAATGTGCAGTTTCCCATCCCCACCTATCCCTTGTGGGGGCATATAGGGGCTTCACTATTTGGTCAGATCCATTTGGTCAATGACTAAAGCTTATTTTTGTGATTGCGGGCATCACCCAAGGTCCTTCTTTAGGTAACCGACGGTGGTGTGTAGCGGGATCATTGATCCTTCAAACTTTAAAACCAAATGGGATGGCAAGTACTGAAGCTAAGTCAGGTAAACCTTACCTGGCCTGCCCACTTGCAACAAGTGTTGACGTTGACACCAGTCAACACGGGGCAAATGGGGAAGCATGGGGGGACTGGTCTGCTAGTTAGGGGGTCTCCCTAAACAAATTAAAAGCAGACAATGTTGTCCACCAAACCCAACACAGACCAGACAGCCAGACACAACACAAGAGAAGTAAAGATGACATAACTTACTGTCAACATACGAGGGTCGTCCCAGAAGTACCCGACCTGACATAGATGGAGGTACTTGTTTGAAAAAAAAAACGACTATGTTCGAAAGTATCAACCTTATAAAGCTTAAGTTTGAAGTTTGAAGACATTACGTTGTATAGTATTTTTTGGCAGCCATAAATAGTGAACAATCTCAGTGAATTTGTAAACATGGAAAAAATTTGTCATCGTTATGTGATACAATACTTTCATTTGAAAAGTTTCAGTCCAACCAATATTAAAGCTGAGCTAGATTCTACTCTGGGGGAGTCTGCTCCCTCGTTTACAACAACAAAATATTGGGTGGCAGAGTTTAAACGAGGCCGTACGAGCTGCCAAGACGAACATCGTAGTGGTCGACCAAGTGAGGTGACCATGCCAGAAATGGTGGAAAAAATCCACAAAATAGTATTAGATGACAGTCAACTCAAAGTACAAGAGCTAGCAGACATGGTAGGCACTTCAAAAAGTGCTGTACATCGCATTTTAACTGAAAATTTGGACATGAAAAAGCTGTGCACAAGATGGGTGCCGCGTTTGCTCACAATGGGACAAAAACAGCGTCATGAGGATGTTTCAATCGAGTCTTTGGCAATGTTTCGCAGCAACAAAGCTGAGTTTTTGCATCGATTCATAACCATGGATGAAAAATGGGTCCATCACTTTACACCTGAGATGAAAGAACAGTCGAAACAATGGACTGAAAGAGGTGAATCAGCTCCAAAGAAAGCGAAAACAGTTCCATCTGCTGGCAAGGTCATGGCGTCAGTTTTTTTGGGATGCGCCCGAAAAAAACAATCAACGGTAAGTATTATGTGAACTTATTGCAGAACTTGAGTGATGAAATCAAGAAAAAACGACCACATTTGGCGAGAAAAAAAGTGTTGTTTCATCAAGACAATGCACCAGTTCACACATCCGTTATTGCGATGGTCAAAATCAATGAGTTAAGGTTCAAAGTGCTTCCTCACACACCCTATTCGCCAGATTTAGCTCCCTCGGATTATTTTCTCTTTTCAAACTTAAAAACTGGCTTGGTGATATAAGATTTGCCAACAATAAAGAGGTGGAGTCTGCGGATCATGGCTATTTTGAGAAGCTCGACAGTTTTCACTATAAACAGGGGATTGAAGCTATTGTACATTGCTGGAAAAAGTGTATCAAGCTAAAAGGAGACTATGTCAAAAAATAAAGATATGTTTTACCAAATTTTTTGTGTCTTCTTTGTTAGGTCGGGTACTTCTGGGACTACCCTCGTACTTGCAGATGACACAACACCATGAAAACGTAAACAGTGTCCACTCGGTGACTAAGATGGCCGCCGCTGATGTTTCTGCACACACACTACTGAGGAAGCCAATATGGCTGTCACCAAAAATACAAACTAACAGAAATAAACTAAGAGAAAAATTTAGGCTTAGCTCTACTAAGCCTAACGCCTGACCTAGGCCTAACTTAGCCCTAACCTCCTATACTAAAGTATTGGAGGAGGACTACCAACCCTAAATCTAGGCTTAACACTAGAAAACTAGCAAAAACTAGGAGCGGAGCAAACTAACACAGGTCTTTCTATTTACACTCACTGTCAAAAATTAAGCACGAAGCAGAAAATGTTCATGTCCAGAAAGCAATCTGCATTTGAGAGGCTGCAATTCACTGCAGAGGTAGGTGGAAGTATGAAAATATGTTATGTTACTATCAATCATAGTTACGTGTCGCAAAATATGTAAAATAGGCAGTCGTATAAGAAGCCAGCCTTCTGAAGTGTGAGAGGAGTTGCATGTAAGTGCCTAGAAAAAGTGTGGAGAACTGTCGTACAATTAGTGTGCATGACTGACATGTTTCTATGACTTCCAGAAGACAAATGACAGACAGTGAGTGCTGGCTGTGTGTGGGAAGCCTTGAAGCAGGACAATCAATCACAAATGTTGCTCTTTTCTTTGGTGTTCATCATTCCGTCATTTCACGGTTATGGAAACAATTCCAAACAAGTCAAACAGTCGTCCGAAGACCTGTGGCCGGTCACCCAAGAGTTACGACCCCTGCAGAAGATCACTATATTGCTGTTGTAGCCAAGCAGAATTGAAGAGCAACCTCTACAGTGTGACATCGATGGTTGCAGCAGCCATTGGTAAAACGATATCTGCTACTACTGTGTGCCGAAGGCTACACATGAACGGACTGTACGCCTAGGTACCACGAGTTTGTGTTCCACTATCCGTCCAATCCAGAGTATAAGTAACATGTAACAGAAACAAGATATAGCCTGACGCAATGTTTTCATCTTTACCATTAGTGTATTGTATACAATTTTTGTAAAAAATGGAAAGCATGTTTTGTAATATAAAATTTCATAAAGCAAATATTTCCTCTCATTAATATAAAAATTACATCAAACTTAAAAGTTTCAAAATAAAAACAAAACAAAAGAAAACATACCATGAAATTTGTATAAACAACCCAGTTGATCCAGCAGAGTTTCTACTGACATTGAAACTGATGGAAGTTCAAGAAATCGATGAATCACTATGTCCATCACCTTTAAAAAAATCAATGCTTAATTATCGTATGCTTAATTAAATTATTGCATTATATGCAATTCAATATAAATTATACTACAGTTAGGTTGATTATTCAAGGAAATTACATATCTATACTTTTATTCAAACAACCCCAGACGTTATCTACATATGTCGGAACATTTAAATTCATTTAAACGCTTTCCTGTAAAAGGATTGTGTTTTCTAATAATGGAAGTAGGGATGAGTAGCCCAACTCTTTCAGTTTTCTTTTTTCCAAGGTAAAAACTAAATTAAACAAACTCTTGCAAATTTTTTCCAGACACTTGTTAGCAAGATGAAGATATACATATTAAAATTTTTATTATGAATAGTCTATATTGGGAACAAGTGATGGATGAAGTCAGCAGGGTGAGCAAGAAGGAAGTTGGGCCATCTGGGAGGCTTCACCCCCTAGTGTACATTAAAGAAAAGGTATAATTAAACTTTCTCAAGAACTTTTAGATGATTAGAACCATCATCAAGAAAATATGTAAGAAGAACTAGTTCTCAAAGTTTTCTTCAACTTTAAAGAAATCTAAAATTCTGTAATGTTCAAATTTATTCAATTATTAGTGTTGCCTGCTGGAGAAATTTTTTCCTTTCTAAACTTTTTGTCTAAAGTTTATTAACATTTTGGATAAGATTTATTCAACATACTGTATTAAGTACAGTAGAGCATCGATTATCCGACTGAATTGGGTACTCAGGTTGGTTGGATAACTGAAAAAATCGGATAACCGAAAAAATGAAAAAAATGCATTATTAGTATAGTATATTAGTATATCGCTATTAACCAACTTTGAATTTTCATCGATGTTAAGCCTAACAAATTTTTTTAAAATAATAATCATCGCTATTGTATCGTTAAAAATTATTTTTAAATTATTTTATTGCTCACAAAATAAACAACCATTCATAATTAGAAAATTAAGTCTCGTTTAAATACTGGCCTCCCTTCAATGGTCGAACCGTGTTGCCAGCTAAAACACGCAAAAATTTAACAAAAATAATATTAAAGTAGCCAAGACATAGCCAAATTTATTAGTGCTATATCACTAGCGGACAATTGAAATTTGCCGAGTAAAACGGTCGGTTAACCAATGTGACGGTTAATCGGGGATCGGATAATCAATGCTCTACTGTACTATAAAATAAAATGTATCTGGTCATTTTAAAGGAGATTAGATCAGAATTTAGCATACATTATCATCAGATTTCTTGTAAAGAATAAAGACAACTTTATTCTTAACAGGATTTCTTTTTTTCTTAGTAAACTATTTCAGCAGTCCAATGTGAAATCACCCTTAAAGGTCTTACTATGAATTAATGGACCAATTCCAAGTCATTTATGAGTAAACAAGAATTGCTGTAGAGAACTTGTGGTATAGAAACACAGTTGATTGATTATGTAGACTTTATTATATAAAAGGAAAGAAGGAACAAATAGCCTGAAATGCGTTTTCTTTTTATATAATAAAGTCTACATAACCAATCAACTGTGTCCCTATATGATAAGTTCTCCATAGCAATTCTGTGCTTTCTTCTAAAGATCTAAATAGAGAGAACAAGAAGCAATCAAGTACTAATTTCAAGTCATATTGCCACAGAAGCTCGATCGACTGACTTGGCAAATATTTAACTTTTTAAATCTAAGCAGTCAGAGCTATAAAGCCATTGAACAATCACGGTTTAAATTCCACACAGTGAATAAAAACGGCATAAAAAAAAAGAACTTCAAAAAAATTAACAAACAAAAATCTATAGATAGTCTCACTACAATTACATTTAGGTTGAAAACCTTACAAAAGTTACAAAAATTGACTAGTGTTTCAAATTGTAATAAATACTCTAATAAATCAATCACGAATGAACAGTGTGTTGGTGCAAATGCTTTTGTTATCAGTCAGATCAATCCAGTTATAGTGTGAAATTATTTCTTGTTCAGCAAAGACCAATGACACCATAAATGTTATCTTATAATATAATTGAAATGGGTTGATGATGATAATAAATGCAGAGTCCAAATGGTTAGGAGTTGAAAGTTGAAATTTGGTACACAGAGTATATCATGAGAATGCACACTAAGAAGAGATTTTTCAAAACTTCCCCCATGGGGGAAAGGGAAAGGGTTTAGGATTACCCAGAAGAACTCAGTTTCTACTATACTGTACAATTTTAGAGACGGTGTTTTGTGTTTTTGCAGGAAATCAAACATATTTTTTGACTCATCTAAAAATTCTCTAATTAGCCTTATAATCCTATATATAAGGCCTTATAATCCATTATAATTGAACCATTTATGATTACTTGAAACAAATTCGTTTCATTTCAAAGCTTGATATATGGGTTCCAGATGTTCTTAAAGAGAGATGCTCAGTTTGGTGGGATTTTAAGGAAATTTTTTTTTGAGCTTTTATCAGACAATTTAGCAATTGACTCAAAAGTGCGCTGCCATCAAGTAAACAAATTGAGTAATATCATCAAATAGAAAAGGCTAAAATTGATCAAGAAAAAAGTGTAGTGTTTTACCATGATAATGCCAAATTTCACACAAGTTTGATAACTCGTCAGAAACTGTTACAGTTTAGATGGGATGTGCTATCACACCAACCATATTCGCCAGATCAGGCACCCTCAGATTATTACTTGTTCTGGTCTATACAAAATTTTTTAAACTAAGACATTTACTTGGAAAGAAAATGTCAAAAATCACTTGGATCAGTTTTTTGTAAGCAAAGATCAAAACTTTTATGAACGTGGAATCATGCTACTACCAGAAACAATGGCAACAGACAGGTATTTGACAAAAATGGTCAATATATAATTCAATAAAATATTTATTTATTATAAGAAATTACTTTCCGAACAACCCAATATTTATTTTAATTCATTCATGTATTTATAGTGTTTATTACATTTTTGTATATTTTGGTATTTCGAACCTCTTTGAATTTGATATCGTATATTTGTTAGAGTATAGAACGATTGTAAATGTTCCAGAGAATTGAAAACCTGACAATGGCCTTTGATCAAGTTGAAAACATTTGTTTAAAGCAATAAAATTGGTTCTCAGAAGTATAAGGTGTATATGTGTGTCAGAGTATTTAAAGAATACAGTCTGTTGAAGTATTTATTTACAGTCAACCCCCTATAACAAGGGTTCCTATAGTTCGGATTCCTATATGATGGCCAAAAAATTGAGACGGTATCCGTACAAACATGGTAAAAAAACTCCTATAATTCGGTAAAACGTCATCAGGCAGCCAAACTACTTTCCGCCGTCCAGCGCCATGCTACGGAGAGTTTAGGCGTATAAGTTGAGTTTACTATCGTCTGTACAGTATGTAAATTAGGTACCGTAAGTCTAATACAGCACTAATTTTATACGTTTCTTGTGAAAGAAACATTTCTTATTCAAAGGCCATAAAAATTATTTATATTTATGATGTCTCAAAAGTTCAACGAAGTTTTCGGAGAAAAATAACTTATCAGAAATCGCGGCCGCCGTTTGGTGCGCTGCTCCACGACAAAAACAAGCTTAAGCAATGGCGACGTCAAACAGTGCACACTTGGTAAGTAATCCTACAATTTTTTGTTGATAGTAGGGGTGTCCAACCTTTTTGTTTCTCTGGGCCACATTGGAAGAAGTCATGGAGTTTTGGGCCAAAGTATATTTTGACCCAATCCGTAAATATACAAGTATATTTAAGTATTAACATGTCTAGATTATAGTAATAAGTATTAACAGTTTACCACAAAAAAGAATATTTTTAAAAATTACTTTTACAGACACTTTCAATTTTTACTTAGAAATAGATAAATTCATTTATTATAAAGGAGACAAACAAAAATTTATTTGAAAAACACAAATATTTGTTTTATTTGGGTCTCTAATTAATAAAAACCGACGAAACACCATTTTAAAGTGCATTTTTATTCGACTAATATATTTATAAATAATATGTAGCCCAAAAAGTAGCCAATGTGCCAACTGATATTTTTTACATCAAACTAATAAAAGGATAGCCAAATTTGGCACAAAGTAGCCGAATCTTGCAATGCTGGAAGGAATACTAAATAAAGCTGGAGTTGAGACTCAAAGAATTATAGACCCAAATGCGGGGAAAGGAGAAAGAGGACAAAAGATAAAGAAATGAGGAAGGTTGGAAAATTAAGGGTCCATATTGCATAACAGGAGATCTATTTAACCTTTCTCATTACTTTTTATCTTTACGTCTTTTTCTCCTTTCCCCGAATTTGAGTCTAAACTCCTTTGAGAGCCAATTCCAGCTTTATTTAATATACTTCCTCATTCACACATTTCTAAGTATTTGAAAATACAGTAGAGCCTCGATTATCCGACCCAATTGGGGACTGGGGTTGGTCGGATAATTGAAAAGTCGGATAACCGAAAAGTATGAAAAAATCCATTATTAGTGTAGTATTTTATTATATCCCATGTAATTAGTATATTAGTATATCGCTATTAACCTACTTCGCGTTGAATTTTCATCGATGTTAAGCCTAACAAATTTTTTTAAAATAATAATCATCGCTATTGTATCGTTAAAAATTAGAAAAGTAAGCCTCGTTTAAATACTGGCTTCCTTTCATGGTCGAATGAGTGTTGCCAGCTAAAACACGTAAAAATAATATTAAAGTAGCCAGACATAGCCAAATATTGTAGCGCCACATCACTAGTGGACATTTGAAATTTGCCAACTAGGGCGGTCGGTTAGCCGAGGTGGCGGTTAATCGGGGGTCAGATAATCGAGGCTCTACTGTATTTCTTTTCCACTCAAAAATAAAATATGTATAAAGGTTTACGGCTTTGTGAAACTTCTTTTTTGAGTTTATGCCATTGAAATAAATAAATAATTAAAAAACTGGTCGGTTTTGTGTACACGTTTATTGGGCCACATTCAAACTTCCCTTGGGCCGCATGCGGCCCGCGGGCTGGACACCCCTGGTTTATAGTATAGTTTATACGGATTATTCTCAAGAAAATATACGTATTTTGGAAATGTTGAGTTGAATTAGTCTAGGAATCAATTAATTTTATGGAAGAAAACCTTTCAAACAGCCGTAGTCAATAAAATGCATACGTGCCGGGCTGTGATTGGCAAGGACTCGTACAAAATGGATTCATAAAGAACAAAACGTATCTACCGTGTTATAGGGGGGGGGTCGACTGTATTTACAAAAAAGATACAGCAATGTCACAATGACAATGATAGTTGGCCCCCAAATAACAAACAACAAACCAACAAAGATAAAAATAAAAACTAAAATTAAATTGCTAAATTTGTAACTGTGTCTTCTTATTTGCTTTATTTATTTAGCACAATGGAGTGCAATTGATAGGACAAAAGGCATTTATTACATTCTTTATTTATTCACTGATATGCATTTTGGTCAGCTCTTCAGTCAGCTATTACAAAATATATTCAGTTACAATACAATATTAGATTTATATAATTATTTAGCAAGAGACATACCTTTTAATTCCTTTTTATAGTTTTAAGTATAATAAATAACTTGTATAATGTGAGAACCCAAACTTTAATGAAAATATTTTTCCATATTCATCATACCTATTTTGACAACTAACTTTGTTGACTATCCTTTACTACCCAAGAACATCTCAATTTACACTTTCTCAATGGCAAAAACAATGCTTTCCCATTATCCATTGACCTCTTGGCCAGGCACTACTGTTTATGTATCAGAATTGATGATGTTGGTTGTTGCCCATTCCTCTACCAACATAGAACTCTGTGTCTCCTTCGACGGAATACCATCATCTCCAAATACAAAATACCATCATCATCCAATATGGAATAACATTGATACCAACAGGAGTACGTCCCTGCATCTGGAACATTTCTATTGTACCAACCACCTCCAAGAGATACCAAGAAACAGACCTTCACCTGTTTTTTGAGGATCTCATAAAACCCCAGGTATCTATGACAACGTGTGATTTATTGTACTTTCTCTCATGCAACCACCTCCATTAGATAGTTCAGTTAATCTAATATTACAATATATGTATCCTGTAACCTTTTTTTTGTGATTATTAATAAATGGTTATTTGTTATTAACCCAAGAGTCTGAGTGCGCTACTTCCGTCTTGCTGTCTCTACGTACTTCATCCAAAATCAGATTGCTCGCATACATGGCCGCTCACATGACCAACTTTTAACCCAAAAAAAAACTCACCACCGCAGCTTCCATGTAAAACAAGACACAATAGTATCAGTCCTGATGAGGCATCAAAGAAGTGCCGACCTTCCAGTCACAATAACATTAAAATACGTTTTTTTAAAAAACAAAGTTATGCATGCATGCTTACAGTTTTGTTCTACAGTTTTAACCTTACTTTTTCTTTGCTTCTTCAGCACGATGAAGTGCGTTAATTAGACACAAGGTAATTTTTTCCCATTCTTTATTTATTCATTGGTCAATACGTGTTCTGGGTCTCTTCAGTCAACTTTTTATTCTGTTGTTTATAGTTTCAAATATATCAGTTAATTTATATAATATTAAAACATATTTTCTTATAAAGGGGGTGCATGCATGGTTATCGGCTTTTTCCTCTTCTTCATTCAACTTTTTATGGTTTGTAGGATATTTAAAAGTTTGTATATTGCTAAAATACACTTTTTCTAAAAAAAGGATTTTTTAAAGGAAATTGATCATGCATGCACTCTTACAATTTTGTTCTTTAACTGTATTTCTTCATCAAACTTTTAAATATCCTACAAACCATAAAAAGTTGAATGAAAAAGAGGAAAAAGCCAATAGCCATGCATGCACCCTTTATAAGAAAATATGTTTTAATATTATATAAATTAACTCATATATTTGAAACTATAAACAACAGAATAAAAAGTTGGCTGAAGAGGGATACCAGAGACCCAGAACACGTATTGACCAATAAATAAATAAAGAATGGGAAAAAATCACCTTGTGTCTAATTAATGCACTTCATCGTGCTGAAGAAATAAAGAAAACAGAAAGACACTGTTTCAAATTTGTAAAGCTTACTTTTTATATCATTTATTAATCTCAAACCAGTCTTTCTTTGTTATTGGAGGATTGGAAAAATCACCAAATTTATACAATACAGTTGACCCCCTATAACACCATTGATTATTCTGTTTTATATGAATTCCATGTTGTACGAGTCACTTAGATTTTACAAATACATGTGCTGGGCTATGAATGGCTCACGTATTTGTAAAATCTAAGTGACTCGTACAACATAGAATTAATATAAAACAGAATTATCAACAGTGTTATAGGGGGTCAACTGTATCTAGGCAAGGGCCGCTGGTCCCATTGTGAGTTTTCCGATTGCGTTTATTTGCGAATATTCCGGAGCGTTTTCTCTGTGATCTTTCGTGCCTTATCATTGAGCTCTTGGGAAAGTGACTACCTACCTCCACGCGGTGCGGCCTGTTAGTACCTTTTAGAGAAGCCAAAGGTAGTTGCGACTTGTTAAAAGCCTTTTTCAAGGCTATTTGTTGTGTGCGATGGCAGGTAAGCCACCACACTTTGCGGTTCCCACCCGGACAGGGGGAGAAGAGGGGCTTGTGGAAGAGACACAGGCATCAACTCCGTCTCTGCCAAGTCGGCAGGATGGATCGCACGGCAATAAGGTCATTGCCGCCAAAAAGGTTCAAGATGAACTGCATGAGTATCTTGTGGCTAATGCCCATTCCAAAATTGGGACAAGGGATCATATTCCCCAGATATTAAGGAGAGTTGAAACAATTATAGAACTTTTAACTGAAAGTGAAGAACTAAAGAAGATGGTGTCCAGCATACAGAAGAATTTGGAAGAACTGAAGGTTGCAGAAGAAAGAAGAGGAGGAAGATCTTTTGCGCAAGTGGTCGCCAGTCCCCCCTTGGTTAATAAGAGGGCGGTGGAGCCAAGGGAAGTGGTTATTGTGCAGCCTACAGAAGGAGACAGTGATGCTGAAAAAACTAAGATGACAATAAAAGAAAAAATTAATCCTCAGGCCTTGAAGATTGGAGTTAGAGGACTCAGAAAATTACGAAATGGGGCTATTGCCATTGAAGTTGAAAAGGCAAGTGATAAGTTAAAGTTACAAAAGGCAGTGGTCGAAATTCCTGGAATGACTGCTCGTGAGCCTAAAAAACGCACACCAAAAGTAATCATTCACTCAGTACCTAAGGATGTAGAGAAAGGTGAGATTTCAAAGTTTGTGTACCAACAAAATGAAATATTGCAGGACAATAATACTGGACTTGAGGAATTTGAAAAGGGTTTCTTGGTAAGATTCCCTCTTGGAAACAGAAACAGGTCCACATCTAGTTGGGTGGTGGACGTCAGCCCTCAAAATAGAATTAAATTGTTAAAGTTAGGAAAGTTAAATTTGCAGTGGGTGAGGTGTCCAGTAGAAGATTTTGTTCCTATTGTGCAATGTTTTAACTGCTGTAGAATGGGGCATTTTGCCCGGGATTGTAAGCAAGAGACTCCCACATGTAGCCAGTGTGGAGAAGGACATAGATACNATCTAACTAATTTAAATATGTTTACAATTAATAGCGTATTTTCTGTTTTCTTATATTTACACATATTTTCTTTTGAATTATATAATTATTAACGTGATTTTCTAATATAAATATTTTTACCATTTTACAATATTTGAAGTCAATTTTCATTTATTTTTATACTAAGGTTTTTATTTATACTATTATTATTGTTTAGTATTTCAAATACTTTCTTTAAATTTTCTATTGTATGTGTTCTTTTCCTCTTGTAGAATTTTTATATTTTCTTTATCTATATTACAGTTATTTAATGTGTAATGTTCATAAAATATAGAATTATTTCTATAATATTTTAAGTTTGCTAAAGTATAGTAGCCTATTACAAAAGCATTTAATAAGCCTACACTAATTTTATCACACATTGAAAGATACGTTAGTTATTTTGATATGTAATTTATATAGCTCATAATTCAATTCACATTCCAAACAAGAATGCAGAATACCAAGCAACAACAAAAAATACTGTATACCAGGTATAGCAATAAACACAGCAAATTTGCTTCATATAGTATATCGGAGAGAGAGATAACAAAATCCTATAATGCTCCTCTTGCTTATGCTGTGCTATTTGCATCAGTAACAAACAAATAGCCAATGGTAAAGTCTACTTTAAACCTTTTTCGTGATAAAGTTTTAATATTTATTACTATAATCTAGACATGTTAATCCTTAAATATACTTGTAAATTTAAGGATTGGGCTACAATATACTTGTGGCCCAAAACTCCATGACTTCTTCCAATGTGGCCCAGAGAAACAAAAAGGTTGGACATCCCTGCTCTATGTTAAGTTCACCAAATATGAGTTTAAATTGAAAATATTTGTGGTGGCCTGCTTGATATAGTTACTGCAAGCATAAAAACAATTGTTAGAAGTGCTGTTCCAATTTGTTTATCACAGAACAGTAAAAGTTCAAATTTACACCCACCATAAGAAACTGATATTCAGTTTTGAAGAATTTTTCAAGCTAACAAGTTAACTTATGACATCAGCATATACAATATGTTGATTTATAAATCAAATAATCATAATTATTTGCATTCAATTAAAAAAATTAATTAATTTTATGACAAAAATGCAGCTATAAGAATAATCAAGCAATAAATAGAAAATAGCAAAGTTGAGACAAATTAGTTGCCTCAAGTTAACATTATTTAATAATTAAATTTTTCTTATTTTTAAGAGTAACAATTCGCATTACATTAGACAAAATACATATGTAGTGAAAATAACTTACAGGTAAGAAACGAAGACAGACATTTCCAAAATAAACAGGAAGATAAGTGTGTTGACTGCTCTGTGCACTCAGATCCTGTAATCCTTCAAAATAAAACTTCTCAGGATATTTCTGAAATTATTAAAACAATTTATAAAATTAAAGTTAATTAAATGAAAAGAATCTAATAGAAAGATGTAAACATATACCTACTCTATGAAATACTAAATGCTTCTCATGCCAATTAGATTGGCGCCAATGTTCTGGAGAATTCTGTAAAAATAAAATTATTTTAAAATTATTACTATTTTTTTCATTTCTATTTATTTAAATTACACTAATGTTCATAAAATATAGAATTATTTCTATAATATTTTAAGTTTGCTAAAGTATAGTAGCCTATTACAAAAGCATTTAATAAGCCTACACTAATTTTATCACACATTGAAAGATACGTTAGTTATTTTGATATGTAATTTATATAGCTCATAATTCAATTCACATTCCAAACAAGAATGCAGAATACCAAGCAACAACAAAAAATACTGTATACCAGGTATAGCAATAAACACAGCAAATTTGCTTCATATAGTATATCGGAGAGAGAGATAACAAAATCCTATAATGCTCCTCTTGCTTATGCTGTGCTATTTGCATCAGTAACAAACAAATAGCCAATGGTAAAGTCTACTTTAAACCTTTTTCGTGATAAAGTTTTAATATTTATTACTATAATCTAGACATGTTAATCCTTAAATATACTTGTAAATTTAAGGATTGGGCTACAATATACTTGTGGCCCAAAACTCCATGACTTCTTCCAATGTGGCCCAGAGAAACAAAAAGGTTGGACATCCCTGCTCTATGTTAAGTTCACCAAATATGAGTTTAAATTGAAAATATTTGTGGTGGCCTGCTTGATATAGTTACTGCAAGCATAAAAACAATTGTTAGAAGTGCTGTTCCAATTTGTTTATCACAGAACAGTAAAAGTTCAAATTTACACCCACCATAAGAAACTGATATTCAGTTTTGAATAATTTTTCAAGCTAACAAGTTAACTTATGACATCAGCATATACAATATGTTGATTTATAAATCAAATAATCATAATTATTTGCATTCAATTAAAAAAATTAATTAATTTTATGACAAAAATGCAGCTATAAGAAAAATCAAGCAATAAATAGAAAATAGCAAAGTTGAGACAAATTAGTTGCCTCAAGTTAACATTATTTAATAATTAAATTTTTCTTATTTTTAAGAGTAACAATTCGCATTACATTAGACAAAATACATATGTAGTGAAAATAACTTACAGGTAAGAAACGAAGACAGACATTTCCAAAATAAACAGGAAGATAAGTGTGTTGACTGCTCTGTGCACTCAGATCCTGTAATCCTTCAAAATAAAACTTCTCAGGATATTTCTGAAATTATTAAAACAATTTATAAAATTAAAGTTAATTAAATGAAAAGAATCTAATAGAAAGATGTAAACATATACCTACTCTATGAAATACTAAATGCTTCTCATGCCAATTAGATTGGCGCCAATGTTCTGGAGAATTCTGTAAAAATAAAATTATTTTAAAATTATTACTATTTTTTTCATTTCTATTTATTTAAATTACACTAATGTTCATAAAATCAATTAAAGACGTCAATACTTTCTTCTCAAATTCTTATTAAATATAAATCATATACAGTGGTACCTCAGGATACAAATGCCTCAGCATACGAAATTTTCAAGATATGACATGAAATTCGAACATAATTTTGCTCCACAGTACGAACAAAATCTCACCATACAACGTTACATTAGTTTGCAATGACATTTTTTATTCACTTCTGTTTATTAGTCTGTCCGCGTGTTTGCTTCATCGTGGAAGGATCTTGCTCGATAAAGGAAATCTCGAGGTATTATCAGAAAGTGACTGGTTTTATTGAAAAGAAACATCGCGAAAAGGTTCACACTGGCCGTATTGCTGCTCGGAGTAATGACATTTGCCTAAGTCATTTTAGAAACATTTTAAAAAGTAGGCAAAGCCAAACCTCTTTGGATAGATATTTTAGCAAGCGACCTCTATCTAATGAAAGTGCTGGTGGAAGTAAAGGAAAGAAAGCAAAAAGCAGTGAATAAAAATTTAAAATATATATATAAAACAGAAAAAATAAAAAAATTAGTGTAAAGTTATTTTTAAGTTATTGTTACATTATGTTATGTAAGTTAAGTTTTACTATCATTTCCCTTCTCCCTCTCCTCCACACCACCAGTTTACAATTCCACTGTTGTCTATCCTCAAAAAGTAAAGTGCAAATAAAACTACATTTTTTTTAATCAATTATTATTCTATTATGGTTATTTATACATTTACAACTACAAAATGTGTTTCAGTGTTTTCCTTACTATAGTCATTTTTTTTTAATGTACTACTTAGCTTTAATTTGAATGTGTTTTCCTGTTGGAACAAATTATTTGGTTTTACATGTAATCTTATGGGGAAAAATGATTCACCTTACAACATTTTCATGATACAATCTCAGTTTTGGAACGGATTAATTTCGTATCCTGAGGTACCCCTATACTGAAATTATATATACTGTTCAGAAAATATGGATGATTGATTGTAATTGTAAAATCGTAAAAGAACAAATTATCAATAAGATCAGATTATACTCTGAATATACAGAGTGATCGGAAAATGTCTGGCCAAAATTTAAAGGGGGTTAGAGGGACAAATATAAAAGGATTTGCAATACAATGCTTGTCCGGAAACGCCGTGTGAAATTCCTGGAGAGTAAAGAAAGTGGAAAGGTAAAAGGAAAGAGGCACAAACAAATGTAACAAGCCCAACCTTTGCACAGCTCTCCCATTTCCATTTGTAGCTCCATATGTCAGATGGATATCTGCTAGTTCAGCATTCGTGAAGTGCTGCATGCTGTATGTAATCACAGTGGGGAATGACAGCTTCCCACATTGCCGGCTTGTTTCAACTGCCCTACACAGCACCCTCTACCATCTTCACGTGGTGTTTCTGGACAAGCATTGTACTGCGAATCCTTTTATATTCATCCCCTCTAACCCCCTTTAAATTTTGGCCAGACATTTTCTGATCACCCTGTATACTAGACATAAGATTATGTTCATGTTTTATAAATTTTGGAAGTTATTCTCTTAGTAGGAATGAATCAAAATAAGAGCAATAAAACAGTTTGAATAATGTCACAATATGTAATCATTAATAATGAAAACATTAAAAATACAAATTAATAATTGTTTTTATAATAGTAACTATTTTTGAACATGGTCAGCAACAATGCAATACATTGACAATATATTCATCTTCACATTAAAACACTTAACTGTTAAGAAAATTTTGATATTATCCCAATTTCTTTATTTTTATCTTTTTAATAAATATTATAATCTGTATAAATTAATTTTCAGCCAATTTGAAAATTATTTACTTATTGGTGTAAATAATAAAGAATTCATTACTATTATCATACTATGGATAATAATTATTTAAGAAAATTTTTTGCAAATTAGCAAATAATCAAATAAAATATAAAATCAAAGTGTTTTAGAAATTTTGAAACTTCCTTGTAATTGATTTCCTTGTATTGAGTAATTCATTATATTCATTTTTTATCAATCAACATATTCAATATTATTCAGCAACTAGCAATAGAGTGATGCTGGTCATTTAACTCCCTTTGGGGGAAAATATTTCAATTGAATTAACATAACTTCCAATCTAGACCAGAAGTTTGTATATAGTTAATTGGAGCCTTGTGCCCCTAAGCTTTCCATATCCAGTCTTGACTTTCATCTATCTAACTCCGTTCGCGTGATTAAGGAAAGACAGATGGATGACAGTGGGAATTTATAAGTATGATTTTTTTCAAATTGCAGCCCAATTAAGAAAATAGACATGAGAAACAATTTCTGGAAAGTTTTCAAATAAAGATCTGAACAGATATAATGTGAGAATGAGAAGTGAGTACGTGACTATCAATAACTCAATGGTCACATAGAACAGTAAATTTTGTTAAACTAATTGCTACTATAACATGTAAATCTATACTTTGATGTATTTTAAAATTTCTCATTTCAAGCATACAAATATTTTTACATAAATATATATAAATAACAAAAGAACTCAAAATAGATCTTAAACAACAATCGATGGCAAACCTAAAAGAACTTACTCAAAACTTTAAAATTTTTGAATAATTATATGTGCAAGAGAATTGCACTGTGGATGGTCTGATATATCATATTTGTTTTTAAAGATGTATTTAAATTCAAACAAATAAATTTTAATTTTTGTGTCAATAGGGAGAGCTTAAGTCCCTGTAACCTCTGTGGATCAAACCCTCCAAATCATGAATAAATTAGAATATAAATCAACTTCATAAAATATAAACTTAAAATAATTTTAAATACAAAGGGTGATTGGTTAAGGAACATAATCCTTTCCAAGACTGTGTTTGCTATCCAAATTGTTAGTTAACCGATTATTGACTTACCATGGCTTTTTATGGGAATTTGATTAATTTATTCTGGAGACCCCAAAAAATAAATAAAAAATTATATACTTTCTTACTATGTTTATTTACATGTAATNCAAAAGAACTCAAAATAGATCTTAAACAACAATCGATGGCAAACCTAAAAGAACTTACTCAAAACTTTAAAATTTTTGAATAATTATATGTGCAAGAGAATTGCACTGTGGATGGTCTGATATATCATATTTGTTTTTAAAGATGTATTTAAATTCAAACAAATAAATTTTAATTTTTGTGTCAATAGGGAGAGCTTAAGTCCCTGTAACCTCTGTGGATCAAACCCTCCAAATCATGAATAAATTAGAATATAAATCAACTTCATAAAATATAAACTTAAAATAATTTTAAATACAAAGGGTGATTGGTTAAGGAACATAATCCTTTCCAAGACTGTGTTTGCTATCCAAATTGTTAGTTAACCGATTATTGACTTACCATGGCTTTTTATGGGAATTTGATTAATTTATTCTGGAGACCCCAAAAAATAAATAAAAAATTATATACTTTCTTACTATGTTTATTTATATGTAATAATAATAAAACATATACTTGTTACACAGTCTTGCATTTTTATCAGTCACGTTGTTTTTCTGTTTGCAGGACATTAAAGAATCTGTCCAATGTCAATTGCTTTCCTCNTTCTTGCTATGTTTATTTATATGTAATAATAATAAAACATATACTTGTTACACAGTCTTGCATTTTTATCAGTCACGTTGTTTTTCTGTTTGCAGGACATTAAAGAATCTGTCCAATGTCAATTGCTTTCCTCTCTTCGAGATTTTTCGGAAGTAATTAATAGCATTATCGTCGTAGAGATCCCCAAGCCTGTTAAGCTCAACCTGGTTTGGATGCCATTCTAAGACCATTGTTCTGACATCCTCCCACTTCTTCAAAACATCTTTAATAGCAGATGTTGGCATTGATCCTCTTTTGTCGTCCTCTTTTTCAGAAGAAAACACATCTTGCTGAGTTTCTTAGTGTTCTTCATTCAAGAGTTCTTGGAGTTCTTCTGTTGTCAGACCAGTTTCAGTTTCCATTATGAGCTCTTCAATGTCATCCTCATTCACCTCCAATTCCAGATCTCTAGCAGTTGTCACAATTTCATCCATAATTTCAGAGACATTATTTCAGTCTTCCTGAATGCAGGGGGGATACAGCTTTCACCAAGCAGAATTCAACTGTCATTGAGTGACTTCTGACCAAGCTTTTTGAATGAGCCATATAGCTTCAAGAATATCAAATTTTTCTTTCCAAAATGTTTTTAATGTCATCATTGAGGAGAACTGGCAGGCTTCAAAACACCAATGAAACAGTGATCAAATGTACAATTTCTTGAAACCCGCAATAACCTCTTGATCCATTGGTTGAATCAACGAAGTGGTATTGGGAGGCAGAAACTGAACTGTCAGCCAGGGAAAGTCTTCCAGCAAATTATCTTCAAGGTCTTTTGGGTGTCCTAGTGCATTATCAAATAGCAACAGTGCTTTCAATGGCAATTCATTGGTCTGGAGGTAATCCTTGATACTTGGAGCACAAACTTCAAACAGCTAGCCATTCTTTGTAAAGAGCCTGCGTAACCCATCCCATATCACTGGCAGTCTTTCTTTAATTATGGAATTTTTTGAATGCTCTAGGTTCTCAGGGTAATAGACAAGAAGCAGGATAAGCTTCATATCACCACTAGCATTAGCTTCCACAAGTAATGTCAATCAGTCTTTCATGGGTTTATGCCCAGGAATATTTCTTTCGTCTTTCGTGATGTAGGTACGGTTCGGCTTGCACTTCCAAAATAAACCAGTTTCATCACAATTGAAAATTTGTTGTGAACAATATCCATCTTTTTTAATGAATTCTTCAAATTTGAGACAGAACTTCTCAGCTCCTTCATCTGCACTAGCAGACTCACCGCAAATTACCACATGTTTAATGCCAGATCTCCTTCTAAACTTTGCAAACCATCCAGTGGTAGCTTTGAATTCTATTTCCTTGT